CCATTTGCCTTTCAAAAAAGTGTTCATGAAAAATTAAACACATGAATACAACAGTATAAATGTACAAAGGAAAGCCAGTAGTAGTAAAATAAAGTATAGAAAACATTTGACGGAGATAAAATAAATCAGCCGAAACAGACACAAAAGAGGGTAAACTTTAAACATAGCTGAGAGTATAGAGAAGGTAGAGTATGAAAGTTGGAACTGTCGGCGAAATGTGATGAACTAATGGGTAAAACTGACAGCTCCAATCGAAGAAATGACAGATAAAAGACTTAAATAGCTGTAATAGTTGAAGATGGTGTGAGGGTTCTTCGTCTGTCTCGTACTTAATAGAAAATCTCACTTTCTGCTTCATTTCACTTCAAAGTCCTGAACTGTACCTTCAGATAACTGCACGTTAATTTATCACAAGCTTTTAGAAATCTGCTGCTGGAAAGTAGCTACCGGCTATCTGAGGATAAATCTCTTATTTCACTAAAGCTCCTCTGTTAAAACCGTCATTGTCCGCTCTTACATCATGTCTCCACCCTCTCTCTCTCTCTCTTTTCCTCTCCTTCTTCTTCACCGTCTCTGTTCTCTCTTCAACCATAACACCATTTTAGGGAAACCCTCCCATAGGTTAACGAATTACTGATTCCTGATCCAAACGTTTCAGCTTCATTGGCAAATATGCAAACTGAACCAAGCATGAATTTTTTAATGCAAATTACTGAACGCTGCGGGTCAAACTGGGATAAATCAACCATGTGCACGCCCCAGACAGACCCTGGACAATCATGAGTGCCCTTGGCCTGGTCCCAAAAAGAAAAACGTCTAGCCAAAATACAGTCCAGCTGAGGCTGTTAAAATCACAAGATAATCACAAGAGAAAGGCCGCGGCTGGCAGCTCTGCAGAAAGCGAGAAGGTAAGCAGGGGAGGCAGTTTGAGGATCTCTGAGCTGTAGACTACAGACACGGCTAAGCTTTAAGTCTTACAACAACAACAGCACTTTCAGTCGAAGACGTTTCTTTACCTTAAAAAAAAAAAAAAAAAAGCAATTTTCTGCAAACTTTATAACTGTCAATCTGAAGAACAAGCCGGCGCTTGCTGTTGCAGGGATTCAAAGACTATTACTTGCTTAGGTAGCCCAGAAGGTGAGCTCCTGGCCTTGTAGCTGCAGTTTAAGGCACTTGAGTGAAAAGCATATACGGTGCTGAGGCGGGTATGGAGGCATAGCTTCCCTCACAAGAAAGCTAATAATTGTAGTTGTCATGGGGATGCTGTCCTGTAGGTGGGAGATTGATTAACTGAAGAGTTTCCTCAGAAGCGCTCAAATCTGACATGAAATGAAGGTTAAGTAGACTGTACATGCAAGACCCCTAAAGGCTCAATTTTCCGTCCGCACTTTGTGTCTGTCTCGTCACATTTTTGGATTCAGAGCAATTTTTCCTTGAGTCTTAGATGAGGCATAAAGAAAAAAAATCAAGGATGGAAAAATGAGAGAAAAAGCTGAAAAAAGCCTGTGCAGTGTGAGTGGAGGGCATTAGTCATGTACGTACTTCCTGCTGTTATTGAGTAGCTCAGGCGCTCTGGAGCTCGGCCAGGCCAATTGTTGCTCATTTAGCTGTCAAACAGCCACAGCCGAGAGGCAGCCTCGGGCCTGGAGAGAACAAGTTTTATGCTAGTTGAAATGCAGTCATAGGAGTGTAAGACATCTGATCAACCCTCGGAGGTTAAAATCCAGTCATTTTGATTACTTAAATAATCGTTGTGCCTCACTGTAGGTGTGTCTGTTTTTGCTTTGGTGGTGCCCAAAAAAAAAATCCTCCTGCAAATGGAAACGCTGGCTCAACAAGCCCTCATGTGCCGGTTTGTAACACTTAGCTGCTTTAATGCAGTACAACAGTGCTGCATTAGTTCCCATCACTGTCCAAAAATACCGGCAGGTTTGTGGCGAACAGAAGGAGAGAGAGCGAGGGAGATGGAAACATAGATGAGGGGCGGGCAGACAGCACTGAGCTATTAAGTTACCCTGACTGGCTGTCAAAGCGGAGCCCAGAGACGGGTAGCTGTGGGCTATTATTGTCAGCCAGCTGCTAATGCAAGAGTGACACAGAACAAGAAAGTTTGAGACAGAGGACAGAATTCCAGCAACATGAATATCAGGATGTTCAAAATGCTATCAAAAGTTGAAGCATATTTTTATCTGTCAGGTTTATATGCTGTCAAAGAGCTGCTTATTTGGGCCTTAAGACTATGACTATCAACATTTATTACCAGCTACCAAATATGATTATTTCTCTTCAACTCTATTGGTCTGGGTATTTGACCTCGTAGCTGCTACATACTTGAAAACGGCCGTATAATGCTGGCTTAAAGCTCCTATGAGGAACTTTTAATTTGTGTTGATGTTGGCGCCCCCTGTGGACAAAGCAGTCTATACTTTGATTGTGAATATTTTGAGTAGAAATTGTAAAAATAGATCTGTTTCAGCTACTTGGATTCCAAGCATTAATATTAATGGTATAAAAATCATCATCGTCACTTTTTTGTCTTTAGACATTGTTAAAAATGTAAATGTGATTGTTTATACAGCCCTCTACAACAACCCTTTCAGTGAACCGAAGTGCTTTAAAATACATAGTACAATAAAAACAATAAAAGCAATAAAAAAAAAGAAAAAGATACAATGCAGTAAAATAAAGTGTCGCCACGCTACTGGGTATTAAAGGCTAGCATAAATAAATATGTTTTCAATCTAGATTTGAAAAGGCCCAGGTTGGAAATAAGGTTGGAACAGCTACTGAAAAGGCTCGGTCACCCCAGTTTTTGTGTTTTGACCTGGGCACTTACAGCAGAAGTTGGTTCAGGAGCTCTACCCGGCTCCCAAGCGGTGAAAGGCCCAGTTAAATAGATGGAGGCGAGGCCGTTAAGAGCCTTAAAAACAAACATTTAAAGTTTAAAATCAGTCCTATAAGAGACAGGAAGCAAATAAAGGGAGCTGAGGACAGGAGTGATGCAACAATATGAATTACAGTCAATTTCTAAGATGTCAAAAAATTCCTTACAGGAGCTTTAATGTAAAGCGTCTTTAGGCTGCCTGTAGTTTGAGAGAGCCTCTTTGATAATACTAACAATAATAATTATAACAAGCTGAGGGGTGTTGAGATGGTCGACCAGATTTGAGGGGTTTTTAATTGTTCATTTACCTTCAAAGTTTTCAGAAAGTTGTTTTTGCAGTGTATGTTTGGTATTTTGAAGGTGGAGAAGCTAAAGAGGGAAATGACAAAGGGTTGAGGTCCTCCAAAAGATCAAATCAGTAGCCTTGTGGGTTTATAAACAGTAAGGACAAGGGGATTTCCAAATATCATTCTGAATGTCAAATCCAATAATGAGGACACAATAAACCCTTTATTATTATTATTAGGGGTGTGATTTTACATGATGCATTTGTTCTTAGTTCACATGAGTCAGTCTTCAGCAGAATTAAAAGTTAACTCCACGAACATCTACAAAACCACCCATCACGCTCTCTATGTGGAATTGATGAATCTACATTTACTGTTATTAAAGCAGCTGGAAGGTTTCAGTCTCATGGGGGGCGGTCATAGAAACTTTCTTTTTTTTTCAAACTCTTTGTCCTGATAAATATTTTCGGAGGCAGAAACAAGCACGTCTGTACTTTCTTGGAAGAAGTTGAAAAAACAACTCTCAGCTGTCCTTTTTTTTCCTCCTCCACATGTTCACTCATACCTCAGATAGTTTTCTGTCACCTACTCAAGAATGGATGTATTTTTGCCTGATCATTATTTTGTGTAAGTTTTCTTTTTTTTTACCCTCTTTAGCTCACTTTAACACTTTGTGACAGGGACACATGAGTAAATTATTCTCTGTATGATAAATCTTCACTTTTCATTGTAGCAGCAGGGTTAACAATGAAACACTGAAAGGTTAGTTTAAGGTAATAAAGTAAAATAAATAATAGTTATACAAAAAGCAAAAAGAAAATAAAAAAGTATAAACTCATTGACAGGTAAAGTTGATAAAAATCTATGTAAGGGGTCACAACACAAGTCTGAAAGGGGGTAAATAAGACAGTAAGTTATTGAAAAGGACAAAAACCTCGCTTTTTGGTTCAAATTATCATCTCAGGCTGCATTTGTTAAGTGTATGAAAAGCTCAAGTAAATACATCATATGAATGGGATAAAAAGAGGGCCTCTGCAACAGGTCATCGTACAGAGAAAAGCTGGCCTTGGTGAGCAGAGATACCAGAATAAAAAGACTATTTTTGACTTGAAAGAATCATAGATGTAATCAGGTAAAATAAATTTCCAAGACCTTCCTTGCAAGAAAAATAACCAAACCAGCTGCTGCTCTAAAATGCTTTAAATGATATGTATGAACGTAGTAAATTGAAATGGATTAAATAAGATTGAACGTGCTGTTATCTATATTTTTTTCTGTGTAGCTCTGACTAGATTGCCAAGAAAATGTGTGCACCATATGCCACAGGAGTACTTTGTTGATTTTGATCACTTTTGGGGTAGTTTTACTCTCTGTGATAGAAATAGTCCTGTAAAGCCACACGAGCTGAATCAGTCACTCCCAAAAAAAAACACCTGCATACGTGTCCAAAATCTACGACGGCCTATAAGATTTTAAACACGCCTCTGTTTGTCCAGGTGGGTCAATGAAATATGCCATTTCTCCTCGCAAGCATGAGTGGATGTGCATGTGTTAACATTTAAAAATGTGTGTGAGAGGGTGTGTGTGTGTGTGTATTTTCAATAATTGCATAGTGATGAGGGAGTGAATGTGCTGTGCCACACTGATGTCTGCGCAGATAGACACCTGCAGTCTGCTCGCTCTCTCTCTCCCTCCCTCTGTCCTCACCTGCAGCCAGCCTCCTCCACACATAGTGTCTTTAAAGTATTTTTTTAACTCCTCGTCATCCTCTCACTGCCCTCACCTCCTCTTCCTTCTCTCTCTTCCCTCAGCAGATCTTTGAAAGGTTGGTTTAGCTGGAGGGATTCCTGGCAGAGTGATTTGATTGTGATGTAATGTAAATCACATTGCCAGGGATTTCCAACCAGCTACAGCTGAAACCCACACCAGTCTGCAACGCGTGACGGCTACTTGGCAGACGCCCACGTTCACAGAAGTCATCCCCTTTCCAATTATTCTGTCAAGAAATACTTAATAACATCACGACAGTTTGATAATGTCTTTTTTTTCAGGAATAGCTTGCTACTTTGGAAAACACCGTATATTTGTTGTTTATGGTTTCCTGTAATGGCGAGGTGCTAGTTAGCTGAGCTTTAGCGTAATGTTGGGATACACGAGGCCGGGCTAAATGATGCCAGATCTAACTGATTTTACAACCAAGTATAAGGGCCACATTTACAAAAAAAAAAAAAGTAAGACTCTGTTATTACTTACGAGAATTAAGTCATAATAAAGTAATTACTCATGAGAATAAAGTCGTAATAAAGTAATTACTCATGAGAATAAAGTCGTAATAAAGTAATTACTCATGAGAATAAAGTCGTAATAAAGTAATTACTTGGCTATGAGAATAAAGTCATAGTAAAATCATTACTTACGAGAATAAAGTCGTTATTAAGTAATTACTTACAAAAATTAAGTTGTAATAAAAACATTACTTACAAGAATAAAGTCGTAACAAAATAATTACTTAGGAGAATAAAGTCGTAATAAAATCATTACTTCTGAGAATAATCCACGTTATCAGGTAGTTACTTACAAGAATAAAGTCATAATAAAGTAATTACTTAGCTACGAGAAAAAAAGTCATAATAAAATCATAACCTACGAGAATAAAGTCGCAATGAAGTAATTGCGTACAAGAATAAAGTCTTAATACAGTAATTACTTAGCTACGAGAATAAAATTCGTTAGTCGTTCTAAAATAATTACTTACCAGAATTTACGGGAGTCAGAATAAAGTCCTTATATCCGAACCTGCTGTTTAAGATGACAGTTGTTGAAATAAGAGCCATGGAGCATTTCATGGAAATGTACTTCAGTAAAGGTTTCTCAAACAAGGAGATACTTTATTACGACTTTATTCTTGTAAGTTATTGCTTTACTCTCATTAATAATGACTTTATTCTCGTAAATTAATCTCACGTGGTTCTCTAATGTGGCCCTAATACTCCATTGTATGATTTAACCTTTTCTAAAAATAAATAAATAAATAAATAAATAAAATAAAGGCTAAATCTGGGGTTACAGGCGTCCTGCCCTTGCATGTTTCTTGGCTAGCTGCAGTAACCTAGCTTAATTACAGAAGTCTTAGCGAGGTAGCTTTCTCGTGTTTTCTAAAAGGTGGTGATGAAATACGGTCCATGTCTTCAATGTGTGTTTGTCTGGAGTTTGACTGAGGGTCAGGACTTAGCTCGCTCCGTGAACAGTTCAGTGAAAGCCTGTGTTCACAGTGGCTAAGTTCCGCTCCTTGCAAACCTTTCCTGCTCGATAACAACCATCAAAAAGAAGCTGTAAGAAGTAAACATGGACTTTTCTGTCTAGATAATGTGCTGCTATTTCCCACTTTATCATATTTTGATAGAAATTGTTGTGCTTGGTGGTTTATCTCTCTGCCATTTCCACAATCGTAGACATTGAGCTTCTTTAACAGGCTCTATATGTGACTGAAATACCACAGAAAAGCACACTGTTTCCTCGAAAACCACTCATGTCAAGGTAGCATTTATAATGTGTTAATAGCGCCATAGGTCCAGAGACTCTCAAGGCTACATTTTCTTTCCTCTCCAGCCTGACCTTTTTCAAGTCAAGGACCCTGAAACAAGAGCGGGATGGTATGAGAGGAGGGCAGGAGGCAGGAAGGGGACAGCTTACTCATACAGGAAGGAAGTACAGGAAATGTCCCATCAGGGAGAACAAGTAGCGATGTAATTGTGACTCCTGAGCTCATTTACTGTCTGGGTGGTCACGAAAGCAAAGCTCTGATTGTATGTGTATTTGTGTGTATGTGAGTAAGTAAACATGCAGTTACCCCCGTACGGGTTAAAACAAAAAAAAATAACAGGGGGGGCTTCCGTAAATAGTGATTAACCCTACAAGCACAATTTTTCTTTTCATCCAAGACTGCACAACCATAACAACTGTTTAATTTTCGTTGTGTTATATGGTATTTTGTTGTGCCATATTTTACCCAGGATATAATATCTTTACTGACCATTCCTTTAGCTTTTCATACAACATGATAAAACTGTTTTTAAACTTCCAAAACTTTAGTTCTAACTTTATTCTTCACTTTTCATCAGGTTGTGGCCACATCTGGAAACAAGATGTCCAGGGATTACCCCACCATCTGAGTATCTCATGTATGAACTGTGTTGGAAATCTCACACTATAACATAATGAATTGATCAAAACACGTGTCAGCGTAATGGGTCTCCTTTGAACGTAATACTCAGACAGAAATTTGCACACCATCCCAAAATGCCATGGAGCTACATAGCTTTGCAGATAGTTGGTTAATTTAGTTGCATTATTGCACCTTTTTGATTCTTATCTACTATCTCATTTATCAAAACAGCTGGAATTTCATGTCTGAAGCTTCTAACATCATTACTGATTTATTTATATTTGCCTTATTCACACTTTACCAGTGTCTTGTTAATAGACATGCCTTAGAGGGTATCCAGGAACATAAATATTAGCATCTACATGTCTTCTTACTGTGTGTTTGTGAACTGGGCCTTTGAAAGTATTTTAAAATGCTTCATTTTTTCATCTATTGTTCACCAAATAAAAGAAAAGAGTAGAAAAAAAACATTAAGAACTGTCCGTCCTTGCTGTCTGGCTTCCTGTGGCAGTCCACCTGTTCTCTGCTTCCTCTAGTGGTGAGAGTGAGGTGGTGCAGGTGCCTGGGCTCAACCTCCTGTGCCTACTGAGCTGATAACAGTTTGATGTGTAACAAGCACTGGCTCAGTTCAGCAGGAACCGGAGTTAGGCCCTCTAGAAACAACGGCGGACTACATCACTCTGCATTCAACGTTCAAGAGGACCTACACTCGACTGTAATGACTCATGCGTTCTCTCGGCTGACCATAATACTGTAATTGCTTTACTGTGCTTTTATCCGTACAAGAAGCCTATAGGTCACTCATTATTATTTTTTCCTTACTGCTGGAAAAGGTCTTTAGACGTCTTCCTGTCAGAGCGAAGGGAGCAGAGGGCTCACAGAAACGCACCCACACAGCCTCTCTGAACTGAACGTAAACCTGATGGAGGAAATCTGCTTCTGTTGGTTTGGTTTTACTGAGAGATCACAGGAGCAGAGTTTTTCCAGTTTAAGTCTCCACATCGAAAAAAAAACCTCCTATCCCCCTAAATTATTTGGAGCATTTAAATAATCGACATGTTCGTGTTTTGTTTCCTCTTGCATTCATTGCCGTTTATATCAGACTATCTACCTCCATGTGTTTGACTTCACAGAGTTAGAGACAAACCAAACCCTAGCTCTCGAGAAGTTATTTTGCACTAAATGTAATTCTGTGACACACTTACAATACAGTGTACTCTAAGAATTAAAATGCATTTCAGATTAAACTATCCCCTTTGTGTGACTGTACTCTTTTTAACAAGCCCTTCAAGCATCAACTTTACTGAAGACAACCAGAGCTTTTCTCAGTATCAGAAGACAGCGCCCGGGATTCCCCCAAAGGGAAATGGTCATGGGAAGTCGGCGTGGGTTTGTGAAATGACTAGAATACACAAATTCACTGAGTAACTATTGCTAGGGAAAACTACGTCAAAGCCGATGCAGGAAACACTGAGTCACTGATACATTTTTAAACATTTTTCTGTGTCATGGGAACGAGTGAAGATACACAGAAAGCAGGCTCAAATATTGAACCCAAGTGACCCAGGAGTATCTAATGACTGCCATATGATTCCTTTAATTTAAGCTGTCTGTGTTGCCTGGATACAAAATTTGCCTAGACTGCACATTTTGTTTTAATAGAAGAATCTTCAATGGTGGAGCGCACTACGTGGTGTTCAACCGATTCTTATATTTTAATCCCATTGCTGCGTCTGCTTCACTAACAAGAAAATCAGTGACATTTTTTTAAGTTGAAGGGATTTTAAAAGGCTCTATTAGCATATTTTCTAATGGCAAAGTCCAAGCATCAACATGAGCATCTTAGTGGGAGGGAAAGTGGGACCCACTGTGCAGAGCCCTCATAGGGGAAGAGGTCTGCTTAGTGATACTGAGATTAAAAAACAGTTTGTGTTTTACATTTTTCCTACAATTCGAAGCTTTTAGAATTTAATTTTAATTAGCTCAACGAAAAAGAATAATTATCCACTCTTTGTCTCTGAGGGGCTTCTTACTCCCACTTAATATGAACTCTCTACTACAGGATTCATCTGACCACAGTCAAATCCGCCAAAACCGCCGCTCTCAGAGGAAGCAAAGCCAGGATATTAAAAAGAGCCAAAAGCTAAAGACATTTTTTTTTTTTTACTGGTGTCTTTTAAAAGAAAGGTGAGCACACCTTAGACAGTTAAAGAATGGTTAAAGCAACTAAAAGTGTAAAGGTCCTCACACACCGGAATGACGCAAATATACGACACGAAATCACTAAATATTCAGAGGCGAATTTTAACGTGCCTGACTATACACATCAAGTGTGATGCAATTTTGCGACTTTCCAGGGGGAAAAAAGACAGGCCCCAGGTGGAAGGGAGAAGACTGACACAACAGCAGACTGACTGTTTCCAGTTCTGATTCGACTCTAGTGTTGAGATGTCTGTCTGTCATGATAGCATGTACTGAGTCGGGGCCAGTACCAGATAAACACATTAAACTATAATCCATAAATGTAAGGTAACAACCGAGACCTAATGGTGCTGTGACAGCAACGCGATTGAGTTTGAGACAGTGAAAATACATATGGTATGTTGTATCTGAACAGGTTAGCTTACGAGCTAAAGTGACTTAGCACAGATGAAAGTTAAAACAAAGACGTTTAGCAAACTGTTAAAACACACAAACCATCGTCATATGAGAAATCCGACGCTATGACTCTCCACAAGTTGTCCTTCAGGTCGTTATCTTTGTAATATTTGTGTTTTTTATCAATAATCACTCTGTTCTCCGACACGTAAACAATCAGCTGGTCGGCCATGTTGGACATACCGGTGAATCTGACGTCGCAACAACACGAAATCTGACACAGTATGCGAAACTTTAGAATATTCAACTGTGATACGAAAAAGTAAATGCCGTAATATCCCAGGACGGGAAAACGTCGCTGATGTGAACGCTTGTATTGACAGGATACGGGCTCGAAAAAAAATATTGACGCCCGAAATAATCGCACGAAAAACCGCTGATGGTGTGTAAGGACCTTAAGAGAATGTCAGGATATTAAAAAGAAAAAGGACAAAGAAAGCTTAAGAAAAGAGTTTTTTTTTACTGATGTCTTTTTAAAAGCAAGGTGAACACACCTTAGACAGTCTAAGAATGGTTAAAGCTCAGGCCTAAGGCCTTAAGGCCTAAGCACAAGCTTTGTCCATATTTGTGTTTTGGATATAAAACTTATATCATAGATTATTTATTTGTAGTAACAATGCTTCTTGGCAATAAATCGTAAACTCTTGGAAAGCCTGTGTAAATAAAATCATCCAAATCTTCTCCACCAGTGCCAAACGACTCATTCTGCCATCGATTCTTGTTAGTTGGTGGATTGGATGATTTAAGTCTGAATATTGGCAGCCCGAAAAGACCGTTTCCTCACCCTGTCAGCAGTTAGAAACCGAAGACTCATTTAGGTCTTCGTCATTTTCATGGATGCAGCCCACAAACTAAGCTCTGCTGCTCATCCAACAAATTCATGTTGCTTACAAATGTGGCACCAGATAAAAGGAATAAAAACAGACTTTCCAACTGTAAAAGAAGCATTTTTACAACAAAGACATAATCTACCAAACACAGATTTCCTTACTTGCTATGTGAAGTTTGTAATAAAAACAAAACTCGTGTGATTGATTACTAATTTTTCAGGTTGTAACACAAGTTCAAGGTTATTTAAAGCTTTTTTATTCAGTCCTCACTGCTAATTTCTGTATTTCAAACAGATGAAGACAGATCAGCAGAAGAACCAACGTCTAATAAAACACTCCGAATAAATGATGATTATGGGAGAGTAAAGATGTATCCGTTAATGATGGCAAACCCTGAACACAAAGACTCTTTGTGTTGTCGTTTCCTGTCTCCTCTTGTAGCAGCAACAGAGAAAAAGCTGCTTCCTAATGAGACTCTGCTTCTGTGCAGTGGAGATCACAAACATACCAAGAACAATATCAGCGTGTTGAATTTAGACTATCTTTCGTCTTTATGCAGCTCTTCTCTTTTTTCACTTCTGAAAAACAGCTGATGAATATTCAACAGTTGTTGGTTTAGATAAAAAGACGCTTTGAAAAAATGGTGAGGAGCATCTTCCTCGCCTGCTACCAGCACACTGATGTTATAATTAAGACGAAGAACAAAACTAAAGACAAGAAAGAAACCCAGAAGCGAGATGAACATGACCTGCACCCTCATCATTTTTCATACCGGTACAAATCCTGCGTGTAGAGTGGGACACTGTGGCCTCTTAAGAAGATCTAATTTCCTCACAAATGATTCTTTTTTTTTCATAAGTGTGCATTTATGAGAACCTGAAGGGGAAACAACTTCAAAGCGACACGTAAGAGATGAATTAGTATTATCCTTGTTATAACTCACCTGCAGAGAAGAAGAGGATGGTACAGATATTTTTAGCACCTCCTCCTCCTCTGTCCTTTTCTCCATCTGCAGCTGTGAGTCATGTACCTGTTTTGTTTGTCTCCTGGCCCAATAAACACATTAATGCATGCTAATACAAACTCCGCTCTTACATAATGTATGATGTGCAAACTCCCACAAGCTCAGACTGGAGATTCAGTCCAGTTTCATACCGTGTCAAAGTCCCTTCAGCGAAAAATGGTGCGTACTGTAAAATAGCGACGTTAAAGCAGCACCAGTCTGAGGTTTCTCTGGCTGGTGAGAAAGTAAAAACACAGCTGTAACGTTACACTGACGGAGAAGCCCGTTTGCGTGACTACAGATCATCTTCCATATCTGAGAGAAACCACAGCAGCAGCAGCTGTGCGTGTGCGTCTGTGTGTGTGTGCGCTTGCGTCTGCGTTCGTGAGTGTATGCATGCATATGCGGAGAGCAATCTGTATTCAATATGAACATTAATCTTGCGTAAGTGTGTGTCAAGTTTGTTTGTGACAGCCTCAAAGCCAAAACCCAGCACGAGGTCTCAAATTTGAGTAATTAGAGTAGACACGCTCATATTTCCATGCAACACACTCAGTTTAGTTTGATTTCTGCTCTGTAATTAAACTGGACCAACAAACATAAAACGTGGTAAAACTTTTTTTTGAAGGTTGAACAAATGTCAATTAAGGCAAACACGATTGTTTCATAACTCTCCTCTTGAGTTTTGTTGACTTTGACATACTTTTTAAATCTCGATTGATGAGCTGTGTATGTAAAAAAAAGTTTGACTTGGCTGATGTGGGAGAAATCGGATATAGAGATCAGGTTTGGACATTATTTATTCTTTTATTCTGAATATTCCCTCAGTCAGTTCAGACGAGAAATGACAACAAAAAACACTCTGAGGGAATTTAAGACTCTCTAATTGGTTCCAGTGAGCACTTCACAAAACTCAGACGGAGATCTTGGCGGAGCTCTCTGACCTGAATATGTGGAACTTTGAATCTCCGGTAGCGGGGCTCGGCGGCCTCGACCTTTGAGTGTGACTCACTTTTTAAGCGGTGCAACTGAAACTTAAGAAATGAGCTCATTTAAATGGTCAGACTTGGGTAACTATTGCTGTGATTTCATCAGCTCAGTGGGACATCGTGACGCATGATTGGTACGTCATTTTAACCCATAGACTGTATAA